GACAGTGCTCACATCCCAAAATATACACATTTCATGACACATGATGGGTGTGGAAAGAATTCAATTCTCTTTTATGCATAGTCAATCATAATTAATCACAAAGGTACATAAAGGATTATATACATACAAATCAGTCCAAGTTAAAACCAGTAAAAAAAGATTACGTTGGAAACTGTTGGAATACCAGCCCATATGACCATTACGTGCAGGACGCGCAGTGGCTGCAGATATAATTACAGTGAACTATTTCAAAAACAACTTGTGTACCTCTAATAATTTGATATCAATGAGATGGGCACATGTAGTAGTTACAGAAAATCTAATATATTTGTACAAAATGACCAAGTGGAGACCTGGATGGCAGGACAAATCAACGTAACATATTAATGTAAGAAATGGTCTGATATCAGACTCTTGGTCCTGACCTTTAGGAGACATGGCGGACAAACGGTGAATCCAATAAAATTATCTTCTCAGTAATAGATTAGCAGTATCTCCCCCCTCCTAGGAGTCGTAACATGTTCAATACCAATTTATCTCAAAGAGCTGATGTTGTGACAAGCCTCCATGAAATGCGCAGCCACTGAGTTTCTCTGGTCAAGAGTCCTGATATTACTCCTGTGTTCTGCTATCCTTGTTTTCAGAGCTCATTTTGTTTTTCTTACATAGCATAGACCACAAATACACTTGATCAGGTACACAAAAAAATTTGTGGAACACGTAATGATCCCCTCAATCTTAATGGCCTTGCCCGTAATAGGGTGATTGAACATTGTGCATTTGTTTGTAAAGTTACATGGGTACATCAGCCACATTAGTAATTACCGTCCGGCACATTGTCTAGGAAGGTGCTACGTGGCACCGGTGGAAGATCAGACCACACAACCATTTGACTGATGTTGGGGGCGCGTCTGAAGACTACCCGCAGGGGTTCTTTAAACGTATTTTCCAGTTGTGGATCAGTTCTCAAGATGTTCCAGTGTTTTTTTAATGATATGGTCGAACTGTTTGGTAAGTGGGGAGTATTGAAGGAAGCATTATACTCAAGAACAGAAATGTTTTCAGTCAATGAGCCAATGTAGGCCACAATAGGTCTTCCTGGTGGCTTAACCAATCGTTGGTGGATTTTTGGTAAGGCATGGATAACGCTTGTGATTGGATTGTCTACATTCATGAACTCATGTTTTTTCTCATAATGTCTCCACTTTCAACAAGAGACTTCAGCTTGCAGTGAATCTCATCTTTGAAGAGTGGTGTGGGGTCACGTGACAGTTTCTGATAGAAAGTGGTGTTTTTCAAATGTCCCCGGATCTCATTCACATATTCATCACGGTTTAACAACACCACAGCCCCGCCCTTATCAGCATTATGCACTAAGTGGAGTAATTTTTGCATTCATCCAATGTTTGTCTCTGTTCTTTAGGAAGATTATTGTAGACACTGTATTCTCGTGTCTTATTCAGAATCTGAGACATATTTTTCCACCAATCTGCAGTATGTTTCTAGGGAGGGATTTCTGTATCTGGGCGGACAAAGGGTGGATATGGCTCGAAAAGGGTTTTTCGTTCTGTGGGAAACGTAATTCTCTATTGTGTCACCCATAGCCTGAACACTTGTTTCACCCATACTTGACACATCCACATTTGGACTCATCATTTATGGGGCAGAAGAACTCCCAAAGTCTCAATATACAAAATAATTTCTGAAACTCTATGTAGTGTCAGTCATTACATGATACAGTGGGGACGAAAGATAAGCCTCTACTCAAGGCCAACTCATATGAAGTGCTTATGTGACTTGAAGAAAGGTTGATCACACTCAGCCATTCTGACTGCGTGTCCAATAGCGGCCTTGTTCCTCTGTTCTTCTTGCCCCTCCGGCACTTCTTCCACGTCCGTGGTGCTGCTGACTCCTCTTGGGCCATTGAGGGTTGCCTACCCTCACCAGCTGGGGGCGTCCCGTCAGGAAGTCCAGGATCCAGTTGCAGAGGGAGTTCAGTCACAGGGTCCTTAGCTTAATGATGAGCTTGGAGGGAACTATGGTGTTGAAGGCTGAGCTATAGTCAATAAACAACAATCCCACGTAGGTGCTCGTTTTGTCCAAGTGGGAAAGGGCAGTGTGGTCCAGGGTGTCTGGGATGATGGTGTAGATGTGAGCCATGACCAGCCTTTCAAAGCATTTCATGGCTACAGATGTGAGTGCTACGGGATGATAATAATTTAGACAGGTTACCTTGTGGTCCTCTGTAGCTCAGCTGGTAGAGCACGGCGCTTGTAACGCCAAGGTAGTGGGTTCGATCCCCGGGACCACCCATACACAAAAAAAAATTATGCACACATGACTGTAAGTTGCTTTGGATAAAAGCGTCTGCTAAATGGCATATTATTATTATTGGTGTTCTTGGGCACAGGGAATATGGTGGTCTGCTTGAAACATGTAGCAATTACAAACTGGGTCAGGGAGAGATTGAAAATGTCAGTGAAGACACTTGCCAGCTGGTCAGTGCATGCTCTGAGTATGCATCCTGGTAATCTGTCTGCAGCCTTGTGAATGTTAACCTATTTAAAGGTCTTACTCACATCAGGTACGGAGAGCGTGATCACACGGTCGTCCTGAACAGCAGGTGCTCTCACACATGGTTCAGTGTTGCTTGCCTCAATGCGAGCATAGAAAGCATTTAGCTCATCTGGTAGGCTCAAGATAGTTTGCAAGCCCTACCACATCCGACGAGCGTCAGAGACAGTGTAGTAGGATTCAATCTTAGTCCTGTATTGACGCGTTGCCTGTTTGATGGAGGGCATAGCGGGATTTATTATAAGTGTCCGGTTTAGTGTCCCGCTCATTGAAAGCGGCAACTCTAGCCTTTAGCTCAGTGTGGATGTTGCCTGTAATCCATGGCTTCTGGTTTGGATATATACGGTTACTGTTGGGACGATGTCGTCGATGCACTTATTAGAAATTAGGTAAAACGGATTTCAGTTTTCCTGCATTAAAATTACTGGCCACTAAGAGCACCACCTCTGGATTAGCATTTTCTTGTTTAATTATCAGCTCATTGAGTGTGGTCTTAGTGCCAACATCGGTTTGTGGTGGTAAATAGACAGCTACGAAAAATATACATGAAAACTCTCTTGGTAAATAGTATGGTCTACAGCTTATCATGAGGTATTCTAACTCAGGCGAGCAGAACCTTGAGACTTCCTTAATGTTAGAGATCGCGCACCAGCTGTTGTTAAAAAAGAGACACACACCACTTGAGCTTACCCGATGGTGCGGTTCTGTCCTGCCAATGCATAGAAAAACCAGCTTTTATCCATGTCCTTGTTCAGCCAAGTTTACGAGAAACATAGGATATTACAGTTCTTCAGGTCCCGTTGATAGGATAGTCTCGAACGGAGCTCGTCCAGTTTGTTCTCCAGTGACTGTATATTCACCAATAGAATAGAGGGTAGAGGCGGATAATTTACTACTCGTTGCCATATTTTCATCAGGTTACCCGCACGTCAGCCTTTATATCGCCATTTCTTTCCCTTCAGAGTGTCAGGGATTAGGGCCTGGTCCGGGGTGAGCAATATGTCCTGTGCCGCTGACTCATTGAACTAGAAATCTTCATCCAAATCGAGGTTAGTGATCGCTGTTCTGATGTCCAGAAGCTCTTTTCGGGAAACATTATGTACATTTCTTTCAAGATTAGAGCAAAAAAACACACAAAATAGCAGAATTGGTCAGGAGCCCGTAAAACGGACGCTATACATTCCAGAGCCATTCTCAGGCCATAAATCTACAGACAGCCAGACACAGAGAGCTGCCAAACTGCTATGTCTTTGAAGTCACGGTACGCCATCTGACTTCAGGCTGTTTGTCTACTTCACTTAACCTATTAGCTAGGCAGATTGCATTCAGATTCCGAGTATGACAGTATGTTTTCTGTGTTAGAAGTTTGTTCCCATTTTAAAAATGTATCCTTTTGGATTTCACTGTATTTCAAAGTCGGTTAAGAACTACCCACTGCTCTTTGACTGTCTCATCATTGTAACAAGCATCACCTCCCTCACTCTGCACATGCTCTGTGCTCAACAGGATTCAACTTCAGTTTGTAAGTCTACTGATATGATTACAAGAAAGTAATATCTTCTTTTACACTATGCTATAGCATCATGGTAAACACAAAGGCACAATGTGTATACTGTCTCTGTTTATGCATAATGATTAGACTTTTTCTTTTAGGAGTCTTATAGGATTATTTTACAACGGGTTGGTCAAAACAAGCATTGTGATTGGTTGAGACGTGTTCTAAGCCAAAAACCTGTTTAACACAGGTTAGCCTACGATGCAAAAATTAACATCTTGTTTTCTGTTCCATCTGAGAAATTCCTGCTCATCCAGTGTCCTATCAGCTCAGCCAGCCAATCAATTAACTTGCTCTCCACTGGAAAAAGCATCTAGACATGATTCCCCCTTGCTTCTAGCCTAACATTTGGTTTGCAACAACAGGGGGTTGTACAAACGTTGCTGTCTGTCTCTCGACATCTGCAACATTGTTTCAATATTGAAATTCGATCTCCAATTGACAATTAACGTGTCATGACGAAACTGACATCTTTTCTCAGCCAGTCGACATCATGAATCAGCATAATTTTTATGGATATATACAAAGAAATGTCTGTGTCTGTGTAATCCTTTGTTTATGTAAACCTGTCTGTGTGATATGACAGGAGTACACAGTCTAGTCCACCACAGTGAGGAAGTTCCATGGTCAGATAGACTGGAGTTTCTAAAAGGCTGGTATGTCCTCATCATCTGCTCCATTTAAAAAATAGAAATCCAGACAAAGGTAAAGTTTTGTACTGTATGTGTGTGTGACTTCATTAGCCTTCACACATGACATAAATATGATTTGTTTAATTTGTGGTGGCAGCATTTTAGTTCATCTTTGTGCTTTCCCCCATTAGATTATGACCAATTACGATGTCTGCTGTATCTTTCTTGGGACAGGCACAATGCTCGTTTCGATGGGAGTCAAACACTACATGGGCTACTTCAAGAGATACAATGTAAGAAACTCGTTGAATTCAACACTTGATGCTTCACACAAGCCATATTACTTAGTTTTAAGTGGAATATTTGATAAATTCCAACGGAATTCCATTGATCTGTGTATTGTGTTTGGGTATTCCTAGATTCTCACTCTGACCCTGAGAGCAGCGTTTCCGTTCATCGGTTGTACCGGAATCATCTACCTGGGGTACTGTTTCTGTGGCTGGATCGTACTCGGGCCCTACCACGAGAAAGTAGATAAAACAGGGATTGAACCCACAACCTTCATGTGCTTTGTGTTTGGAGTGTTATCACTCAACAACATAGGTGCAGGAATTTTTCTACATCAAAAGGAGGCTATAACTGGAAATAGTTTTTATTTTGTTGTTAATTTCGGAACTTGAACACAGTATCAGAGTGCCTGTTCTCCTTGATCAACGGAGATGACATGTATCCTATTTTCAAGGACATGCAGCAGATGAGTTACTTGGTGTGGCAGTTCAGCATAGTACAGTCATGGTCAAAAGTTGAGAATGACACAAGTATTGGTCTTCACAAAGTTCGCTGCTTCAGTGTTATGATATATTTTTGGTATACTGAAGTATAATTACAAGGATTCCATAAGTGTCAAAGGCTTTTATTGACAATTACATTTTTTGCAAAGAGTCAATATTTGCAGTGTTGACCCTTCTTTTTCAAGACCTCTGCAATCCGCCCTGGCATGCTGTCAATTAACTTCTGGGCCACATCCTGACTGATGGCAGCCCATTCTTGCATAATCAATGCTTGGAGTTTGTCAGAATTTGTGGATTTTTGTTTGTCCACCTGCCTCTTGAGGATCGACCACAAGTTCTCAATGGGATTAAGGTCTGGGGAGTTTCCTGGCCATGGACCCAAAATGTCTATGTTTTGTTCCCCGAGCCACTTAGTTATCACTTTTGCCTTATGGCAAGGTGCTCCATCATGCTGGAAAAGGCATTGGTCGTCACCAAACTGTTCTTGGATAGTTGGGAGAAGTTGCTCTCGGAGGATGTGTTGGTACCATTCTTTATTCATGGTTGTGTTCTTAGGCAAAATTGTGAGTGAGCCCACTCCCTTGGCTGAGAAGCAACCCCACACATGAATGGTCTCAGGATGCTTTACTGTTGGCATGAGACAGGACTGATGGTAGCGCTCACCTTGTCTTCTCCAGACAAGGTGTTTTCCGGATGCCCCAAACAATCGGAAAGGGGATTCATCAGAGAAAATGACTTTACCCCAGTCCTCAGCAGTCCAATCCCTGTACCTTTTGCAGAATATCAGTCTGTCCCTGATGTTTTTCCTGAAGAGAAGTGGCTTCTTTGCTGCCCTTCTTGACACCAGGCCATCCTCCAAAAGTCTTCGCCTCACTGTGCGTGCAGATGCACTCACACCTGCCTGCTGCCATTCCTGAGCAAGCTCTGCACTGGTGGTGCCCCGATCCCGCAGCTGAATCAACTTTAGGAGACAGTCCTGGTGCTTGCTGGACTTTCTTGGGCGCCCTGACGCCTTCTTCACAATAATTGAACCTCTCTCCTTGAAGTTCTTGATGATCCGATAAATTGTTGATTTAGGTGCAATCTTACTAGCAGCAATATCCTTGCCTGTGAAGCCCTTTTTGTGCAAAGCAATGATGACGGCACGTGTTTCCTTGCAGGTAACCATGGCTAACAGAGGAAGAACAATGATTTCAAGCACCACCCTCCTTTTAAAGCTTCCAGTCTGTTATTCTAACTCAATCCGCATGACAGAGTGATCTCCAGCCTTGTCCTCGTCAACACTCTCACCTGTGTTAACGAGATAATCACTGACATGATGGCAGCTGGTCCTTTTGTGGCAGGGCTGAAATGCAGTGGAAATGTTTTTTGGGGATTAACTTCATTTTCATGGCAAAGAGGGACTTTGCAATTCATTGCAATTCATCTGATCACTCTTCATGACATTCTGGAGTATATGCAAATTGCCATCATCAAAACTGAGGCAGCAGACTTTGTGAAAATTAGAATTTGCGTCATTCTCAAAACTTTTGACCACAACTGTATACCTCTACACCTTCATCTCCCTCTTCATCGCCGATACCTACGACACCATCAAGGTTATGATGCATTATAGGCAGTGCGTATCCAGCCAGCAGACATGAACCCTTACCCTAACTTCAACTGATTTCTAAACCTAATGTTTTGATCTGCTGGTCGAATATGCACTTCTGTTATTACATTTCACTCGTGTTCTTTCTTTTTTACAATTCTTCTTTCTAGTCAAAATATTCATAATCAGAAAAATCCTCCTTGTTTGTCTTACAGCAGCAGGAGTGGAGCCTATTGTCGGCGCTGCCTGCGTTCATGTCGAAGTGCAAAGACCTGCCCACCTCAGGACGCTACCAAGTCAAGGGCTCCTGTACCTGCTCCTCCATAACCAGCTGCTTCCCCAAGTGAGACCAACCTGAGTGACATCACAGTGGTCAGAGGTTACCTGTTAAATGTTTTTTGTCCGATTCTAGAACTCTGGACCACAACAGAACCAGGGTTGGGGTAAACGCCATTTAAATTCAGAAACTGAAATTGCAAAAAGAGTTTATTTGAGGAACCAAGGCTTGAACACAGGTTATGTGAAGTGACACGTTCTTTCAGTTCAAAAATCAACCAATGTAACTTTTAACTAACCTCTAAAAAGTGTTGTTTTCCCCCTCAGATGTAATGACTCACGAGAAAGACTGAGCTCTGAATCAATAGACTGAGCCATAGCGGACCTTTATCTGTCTCCTAAAGTTAGAGATTAGTAAGAAACCTTACAATGTACATAACCATGACCAGCACTTTACTATATGGTTTAGCCCTGCAGAACTTTGTTATTGTCCTGGACTTCTAGACCACCTGCCAACTCTCTATGCAGTAGCATCGAGCCTGAGGACGAGGTAGGACCTGTTATGAATAGTCACTGTGTAAGATGCCTGATCAAATTTACAGAAGTTGATGACCACATGATGATATGCACTGATGAACGTTACTGATATGCACCAGCTTTATATGTGAGATGATTATTTGAATGTACTGTAAACATTAAATTGTGAATTGTTCAAAGACTTTGCGCCATTCATTCGATCAATGTTGCCTTAAGTTCCTTTTCCATAAACATATTTTTCCAGAGCCCAGTAGATTGTAACTTTTTAGCTGGCGTTCCAAAGACATTTTGCATCTAGTCATGAGCAAGCATTGAATCAGAGTGGATAAGGATACTGGAAACAGATAAGGAAATGCAACTTATTTTCTGTTAAAATTAGGATTTATTTCTCTAAGGACAGCATAAACTGGAAGTAAAAAACATAGCTGACCTGTACAATTTCTTTTTTGCTCATCATATTTTTAAACTCTTCTATCAACATAAGCGTATATGTCACAGAATGTACATTTCATTAAAAGGTGTTTATGACATGTCTGGTAAATTGGTGCCAGAGTTCATTGCACTGTTTTGTTCTTCACATACTGAGAACAGCTGAAAGGATCTCCGTCATCATATCAATAAAACATTTAAAATCTCTGCCAGAATAACATTTCTGTACAGTAATAGAAAGTGTCAACTCAAACACTATGTAAAGAAATAAAAAATGCAAACATTTCAGCAGGAGTCAAGTTCATATCGCTTCATCCAACTCGAATCTGGTGATTCTAGAGTAGTGTGGGAGCTCAGTTCATGTTTCCCTGCAGAGAAGACTGTCCACTAATCCATTGAGAGTTGTGTGGAGTTGGAGACACATGTAATTGACTGTCTGGGCCCGTCGTGAATGAATACTGTCGTGAATGTCTGGCAGAGGTTAATTGGGTTCACAGGGTAGATACATTTTCGGCTGTGGTAGAGGAAACCCTGTGATGATTGCATCAGTCTGTTGAGAAGCTCATGCTTGGGCAGGTAGAAGTGGGATAGAGTCAGTCTGGTCCAGGCTGTGAGGAGTTCAGGGCTGAGCTGAAGTTAGAAGATAGGTAGGTAGACATATATGGCATCAGTCTGGGCAGGGCTGGCTAGGGACAGAGTCAGAGCTGGGGGGTAGAGGTAACGGGACCCGCTGCTCGTCCATCCTGTTGACCTGGGATCGCAGAATGAGGCTGAAGAAGTCCTCGTCTGGGACAGTAGGACCCCTAGTGGGGGGAGGGGGTGCTGCACACCGCTGGTCATTCAATCTAGAACCCTACACAGGCACATTGGAACAGACCAGATTGTGATCTCAAATCAACAGTGTCAGTAAAATGTCTGATATATAGTATTTTTCAATAAATATGGTCCATGAGTTACAATTAATCATCTTTACAATAGGTACTAATTCAGTATGTAAGCAAATTAGGCTTTTACTAACTTCTGACTAATAGTCAAGTCATTTTCAGTGAACCAGCTAAAATAAGCTACTGTAGGCTGTCTTGATTACCTGGCACTTGACTAGCATGTCAAAGAAAACGTCGTCAGCCTGAGGCTGGTCAGCACTGGTCATCAGAGGACTGAGCATGGTGGGGGGGCTGAGGGGCTGATCAGAGGTGCAGAGACGTAGACCGGGGAAGCTGCTGCCCACGCTGACTCTCTGCTCGTCCAGCCGACGGCCCTGGGAGCTGGCCAGCAGGTCCCGGATATGCCCAGGCTCCGGGTTGGCCTTGCACGCGGAAGTAGCTACAAGAGGTGGAAGAGGACAGGGAGGTGAGGAAGGGGTTTCAGTTTAGCCTGAAAGCTACATCTCCTTCGCCAAAGCAATCTTTTTAAAATTTGTATTATGCCTTCCTTATTATGAATAGGATAAGGAAGGTACGCACAGGCAAGGCATTGGACTACGCGTAGGTCACAAAGTGCCAACAAGGCACATTGGTAGACATGGCATGCAGAGGGAGGCGGGGCTAACTTACATTTCCTCATGGCTACGGGCGGGGTGGTACAGAGAGAGAAGGGGTCGGTGAGACTGCTCTGGCCGTCCAATAAGGAGCATCTTTGGTCGTCCATTCTGCTGCCCTGGAAACGACTGAGGAGGTCGAAGAAGCCTTCACCACCCAGAGTGTCAGAACCTCCAATCTACAGGAGAAAAGATGCACAAAACACACACTAAAACAACCAGCAAAGTCTCATATAACCATAAAAAAGGCTATCATTACAAAGACAAGAACGTTACAATAGACTGCACAACATGCCCAACCTCTATGTTATCTACTGTAGAAAAACCCCAGTAGGCTGTTGAACCCGTAGGAATATATTTAAAATAATAGCAATAGACCAATTACAGTGGGGGAAAAAAGTATTTAGTCAGCCACCAATTGTGCAAGTTCTCCCACTTAAAAAGATGAGAGAGGCCTGTAATTTTCATCATAGGTACACGTCAACTATGACAGACAAAATGAGAAAAAAAAATCCAGAAAAATCACATTGTAGGATTTTTTATGAATTTATTTGCAAATTATGGTGGAAAATAAGTATTTGGTCAATAACAAAAGTTTCTCATTACTTTGTTATATACCCTTTGTTGGCAATGACACAGGTCAAACGTTTTCTGTAAGTCTTCACAAGGTTTTCACACACTGTTGCTGGTATTTTGGCCCATTCCTCCATGCAGATCTCCTCTAGAGCAGTGATGTTTTGGGGCTGTCGCTGGGCAACACGGACTTTCAACTCCCTCCAAAGATTTTCTATGGGGTTGAGATCTGGAGACTGGCTAGGCCACTCCAGGACCTTGAAATGCTTCTTACGAAGCCACTCCTTCGTTGCCCAGGCGGTGTGTTTGGGATCACTGTCATGCTGAAAGACCCAGCCACGTTTCATCTTCAATGCCCTTGCTGATGGAAGGAGGTTTTCACTCAAAATCTCACGATACATGGCCCCATTCATTCTTTCCTTTACACGGATCAGTCGTCCTGGTCCCTTTGCAGAAAAACAGCCCCAAAGCATGATGTTTCCACCCCCATGCTTCACAGTAGGTATGGTGTTCGTTGGATGCAACTCCGCATTCTTTGTCCTCCAAACACGACGAGTTGAGTTTTTACCAAAAAGTTATATTTTGGTTTCATCTGACCATATGACATTCTCCCAATCCTCTTCTGGATCATCCAAATGCACTCTAGCAAACTTCAGACGGGCCTGGACATGTACTGGCTTAAGCAGGGGGACACGTCTCGCACTGCAGGATTTGAGTCCCTGGCGGCGTAGTGTGTTACTGATGGTAGGCTTTGTTACCTTGGTCCCAGCTCTCTGCAGGTCATTCACTAGGTCCCCCCGTGTGGTTCTGGGATTTTTGCTAACCGTTCTTGTGATCATTTTGACCCCACGGGGTGAGATCTTGCGTGGAGCCCCAGATCAAGGGAGATTATCAGTGGTCTTGTATGTCTTCCATCTCCTAATAATTGCTCCCACAGTTGATTTCTTCAAACCAAGCTGCTTACCTATTGCAGATTCAGTCTTCCCAGCCTGGTGCAGGTCTACAATTTTGTTTCTGGTGTCCTTTGACAGCTCTTTGGTCTTGGCCATAGTGGAGTTTGGTGTGTGACTGTTTGAGGTTGTGGACAGGTGTCTTTTATACTGATAACAAGTTCAAACAGGTGCCATTAATACAGGTAACAAGTGGAGGACAGAGGAGCCTCTTAAAGAAGAAGTTACAGGTCTGTGAGAGCCAGAAATCTTGCTTGTTTGTAGGTGACCAAATACTTATTTTCCACCATAATTTGCAAATAAATTCATAAAAAATCCTACAATGTGATTTTCTGGATTTTTTTCCCTCAATTTGTCTGTCATAGTTGATGTGTACCTATGATGAAAATTACAGGCCTCTCTCATCTTTTTAAGTGGGAGAACTTGCACAATTGGTGGCTGACTCAATACTTTTTTCCCCCACTGTATATGATTTATATGATTACACTACTATGTAGGCTTATCTCTACAGTTGAAGCTACCTTGGCTTCTGACTTCTGTGTGTCCATCTCTGGGGCTGTGGGTTTGTTGCTGGTGTCCTGGAGGACTCCGTCTCTGGTAGGAGAGCTGTGCTTCTTGTGTTTCTTCCCTCTGAGCCGGTTGATAAAGAACAGCTTGGAGGTGGCCTTGGCCATGCTGGATTTAGGGTTAGGAGGCCTGAACACGACTTCGTCCCAGTTCTGTTGTAAGGGCAGTACATGATGACAAAAGTACCGGTACATGAAAATAAACATTGATGATAGGGGAGTGATAGGTGGTGTGTGTAGGCAGTTTAGTTGAGACGTCACCAATACTATATAATATCAATCAATAAAAACTAAATGTACATAAATCAATACAATAGTAACATTACGGATAAGGGATATTTCTGCTCATAAGCTTATGTAAATGTGTTAATATGCATGTGTACTGTACCTCTACAGTTTTTTCAGGACTAAGCCCTATCAGCTCCAAGTTCTCTATACTGTTCCTCCTTCCTTCTGACTTAATGCCTGAAACGAACATATCAGAAGTCGGTATGGGTGCCATATGTATCTACTCCCATTTGTGTCACTTTGCCAGGCTTGCACCTGGACTGACTCCGGACTACAGATTTGTGTAAGGTTCAGAATAATGAGTACAAATGGAATAATGCTTATTTATAATAATAATAATAATAATAATAATAATAATAATAATATTATTATTATTATTATTGCCATTTAGCAGACACTTTTATTCAAAGTGACTTACAGTACTGTGTGCATACATTTTCGCATGGGTGGCCCCAGTGGGAATCAAACCCACGATTGACATTGCAAGCACCATGCTCTACCAACTGAGCTACACAGGATCATATTTATTTACACTAAAATCAATAATCATAATAATAGTGTAGCATTGTTACAGGTAGGCCGGAAGGGACTTGTACCTGGTAAGGTGTTCTGCTTCCTGAGGTTCTCAGTCAGAACAGAGCTGTTGGTGTTAAAGTCGGAGCTGTTGTTGGTGTTGAGGCTTGAGCTTGGGTTCTGACCCAGAACCAGCAATAACTTCAGGTCTGACACGTTCATCCTGGCGGTTGCCTCGCCATTTTTGTCTCCAGTCTGGACCAAATACAGGATGAGAAGTGTATTATAGAAAAAAAACTGTGAGAACTGCATAAGAGGAACACAACTCGAACACAGCAGGGGAATCATCTGGCCATATAGAGAGTCCAGGTGTTGTTGTCCTCACCCCTCCCCTCGGTACCGGAAGAGATTGCCTCATTCATTTTATTCATACAGAATTCCTAGAGTTGTGACTTATTGGATAATAACGAGCAGGTTATTACCATGTAGAAAGAGCTGTGACTAGATGACAGGTACTGATAACATGCATTAGATAGGGAAGTGGACTAAACATTGACCAGGCAGTAAAAAGCACCTCTTTGGATATCTCCAGATGTTTCTCAGCAAAGTGAATGGCCTCCTGATGATTCCCCAGGGCCTTGTGGGCATTTCCTAAACTCCAGCATGCTCTTCCCTCCCCGACCCTGAACAAACACAGAGGGACAGACAGAAGAGAGATTGAGTAATGCCAACTCAGAAAGTACACTTCTCTACTGTGAACACTTTGCATAAGCCTTTCGAACAATGTGTGTCTTGGGAAAAGATGAACATTGGTCTCTAGAGCCATCAGAGGACTCATAATTAAAGAAGATGGTCATGATCAAATTACGCTCGACAACCATAAGCAACCAAGTAAGCGTGTGTACCTGTCCTTGAGCTCCCGTGCGATGATGAGGTGTTTGAGGTGGTAGTCGATGGCTCTCTCATAGTCCTGCAGCAGTGTGTAGGTGTTCCCCAGGCTGTAACAGGCCTGAGCCTCCACAGCCTTGTCCTTCAGCAGCCTGGCCAGCTGCAGAGTCCTCCTGGGGGGCAGAGGTCAAGGGTCAGAGGATGATAAGGAAGAGGTCACCAAAAACTAGTCTTGCTTGCCCCTAACTGTGGGGCTTTGGTAAGAGACTTCCAGAAACATCATATTCACTTATTATAATTTCCCCACAACCCTTTTCCCTTAATTGTTTTCTTCTTTCCCAAGTCCAAACATGCATGTCCTAACTGGGCAGTACAAGACAGGAGTGTCTGAAAATTCCTGGGCCTTTGATGGTCAATTGGTCTAAGGAAGTAAGTCCACTCACTTGTAATGTTCAGCTGCCACTCCAAACTGGCCCAAGAAGATGTAGGCGTTCCCTAGGTTACAGTAGGCCCTCCTCTCAGCCGCCCTGTCCCCAAACTCCTTAGCGATGAGGAGACGCTACAAAAACAAATCAAGGTCAGAGTGATGTTCTCGTTCTACTAAATAAAGAAACGAGAACATATAGTATCATAAAACAATATTCACACAGGCATCATGTATGTGATATATATACAGTGGGGAGAACAAGTATTTGATACACTGCCGATTTTGCAGGTTTTCCTACTTACAAAGCATGTAGAGGTCTGTAATTTTTATCATAGGTACACTTCAACTGTGAGAGACGGAATCTAAAACAAAAATCCAGAAAATCACATTGTATGATTTTTAAGTAATTAATTTGCATTTTATTGCATGACATAAGTATTTGATCACCTACCAACCAGTAAAAATTCCGGCACTCACAGACCTGTTAGTTTTTCTTTAAGAAGCCCTCCTGTTCTCAACTCATTACCTGTATTAACTGCACCTGGTTGAACTCGTTACCTGTATAAAAGACACCTGTCCACACACTCAATCAAACAAACAGACTCCAACCTATCCACAATGGTCAAGACCAGAGAGCTGTGTAAGGACATCAGGGATAAAATTGTAGACCTGCACAAGGCTGGGATGGGCTACAGGACAATAGGCAAGCAGCTTGGTGAGAAGGCAACAACTGTTGGCGCAATTATTAGAAAATGGAAGAAGTTCAAGATGACGGTCAATCAGCCTCGGTCTGGGGCTCCATGCAAGATCTCACCTCGTGGGGCATCAATGTTCATGAGGAAGGTGAGGGATCAGCCCAGAACTACACGGCAGGACCTGGTCAATGACCTGAAGAGAGCTGGGACCACAGTCTCAAAGAAAACCATTAGTAACACACTACGCCGTCATGGATTAAAATCCTGCAGCGCACGGAAGGTCCCCCTGCTCAAGCCAGCGCATGTCAAGGCCCGTCTGAAGTTTGCCAATGACCATCTGGATGATCCAGTGGAGGAATGGGAGAAGGTCATGTGGTCTGATGAGACAAAAATAGAGCTCTTTGGTCTAAACTCCACTTGCCGTGTTTGGAGGAAGAAGGATGAGTACAACCCCAAGAACACCATCCCAACCGTGAAGCATGGAGGTGGAAACATCATTCTTTGGGGATGCTTTTCTGCAAAGGGGACAGGACGACTGCACCGTATTGAGGGGAGGATGGATGGGGCCATGTGTCGCAAGATCTTGGCCAACAACCTCCTTCCCTCAGTAAGAGCATTGAAGATGGGTCGTGGCTGGGTCTTCCAGCATGACAACGACCCGAAACACACAGAAAGGGCAACTAAGGAGTGGCTCCGTAAGAAGCATCTCATGGTCCTGGAGTGGCCTAGCCAGTCTCCAGACCTGAACACAATAGAACATCTTTGGAGGGAGCTGAAAGTCCGTATTGCCCAGCGACAGCCCCGAAACCTGAAGGATCTGGAGAAGGTCTGTATGGAGGAGTGGGCCAAAATCCCTGCTGCAGTGTGCAGAAACCTGGTCAAGACCTACAGGAAACGTATGATCTCTGTAATTGCAAACAAAGGTTTCTGTACCAAATATTAAGTTCTGCTTTTCTGATGTATCAAATACTTATGTCATACAATAAAATGCAAATTAATTACTTAAAAATCATACAATGTGATTTTCTGGATTTTTGTTTTAGATTCCGTCTCTCACAGTTGAAGTGTACCTATGATAAAAATTACAGACCTCTACATGCTTTGTAAGTAGGAAAACCTGCAAAATCGGCAGTGTATCAAATACTTGTTCTCCCCACTGTATATACAGTACCAGTCAAAAGTGTGGACACACCTACTCATTCAAGGGTTTTTCTTAATTTTACTATTTTCTACATTGTAGAATAATAGTGAAGGCATCGAAACTATGAAATAACACATATGGAATCATGTAGTAACCAAAAAAGTGTTAAATCAAAATAATTTATATTTGAGATTCTTCAAAATAGCCACCCTTTGCCTTGATGACAGCTTTGCACAGTCTTGGCATTCTCTCAACCAGCTTCACCTGGATTGCTTTTCAAACAGTCTTGAAGGAGTTCCCACATATGCTGAGCACTTGTTGGCTGCTTTTCCTTCACTCTGCTGTCCGACTCATCCCAAACCATCTCAATTGGGTTGAGGTCGGGGGATTGTGGAGGCCAGCTCATCTGATGCATCACTCCATCACTCTCCTTCTTGGTAAAATAGCCCTTCCACAGCCTGGAGGTGTGTTGGGTCATTGTCCTGTTGAAAATCAAATGACAGTCCCACTAAGCCCAAACCAGATGGGATGCCATATCGCTGCAGAATGCTGTGGTAGCCATGCTGGTTAAGTGTGCCTTGAATTCTAAATAAATCACAGACAGTGTCACCAGCAAAGCACTCCCACACCATAACACCTCCTCCTCCATGCTTTATGGTGGGAACTACACATGCGGAGATAATCCGTTCACCCACACTGTCTCACAAAGACATGGCGGTTGGAACTAAAAATAAAAAAATTGGACTCGAGACCAAAGGACAAATTTCCACAGTCTAATGTCCATTGCTTGTGTTTCTTGGCCTAAGCAGGTCTCTTCTTATTATTGGTGTCCTTTAGTAGTGGTTTCTTTGCAGCAATTCGACCATGAAGGCCTGAAACACATAGTTCCATCTGAACAGTTGATATTGAGATGTGTCTGTGACTTGAACTCTGAAGCATTTATTTGGGCTGCAATTTTTGAGGCTGGTAACTCTAATGAACCTATCCTCTGCAGCAGATGTAACGATGGGTCTTCCATTCCTGTGGTGGTCCTCATGAGAGCCAGTTTCATCATAGCGCTTGATGGTTTTTGCGACTGCACTTGAAGAAACTGTCAAAGTTCTTGAAATGTTCCGTATTGACTGACCTTCATGTCTTAAAGTAATGATGGACTGTCGTTTCTCTTTGCTTATTTGAGCTGTTCTTACCATAATATGGACTTAGTATTTTACCAAATAGGGCTATCTTCTGTATACCCCCCCCCTTGTCACAACACAACTGATTGTCTCAAACGCGTTAAGGGAAAAAAAATCCACACATTAACTTTTAAGAAGGCACACCTGTTAATTGAAATGCATTCCAGGTGACTACCTCATGAAGCTGGTTGAGAGAATTCCAAGAGTGTGCAAAGCTGTCATCAAGGCAAAGGGTGGCTATTTGAAGAACATATATTTTGATTTGTTTAACACTTTTTTGGTTACTACATGATTCCATATGTGTTATTTCATAGTTTTGATGTCTTCACTATTATTCTACAATGTAGAACATGGTAAAAATAAAGAAAAACCCTTGAATGACTAGGTGTGTCCAAACTTTTGACTGGTAGTGTGTGTGTGTGTGTGTATATATATATATATATATATATATATATATATATATATATATATATATATATATATATATATACACATACATACACACACATATACATACATACACATACACACACACACAAACATATATGTATATATTATATATGTATATATTCTCTCACTGTTCAAATAAACCTACCATTAAAATTATAGACTGATCATTTCTTTGTCAGTGGGCAAACGTACAAAATCAGCAGGGGATCAAATACTTTTTTCCCCTCACTGTGTGTGTGTGTGTGTGTGTGTGTGTGTGTGTGTGTGTGTGTGTGTGTGTGTGTGTGTGTGTGTGTATGTATGTATGTATGTATATATACATACATACATACATACATACATACATACATACATACATACATATATAAATAACCCTGATAGTCATGTACTAAGACTTGTGATGCCACTAAATTAGGGTATGTACCTGTTCATGGGCCACCACAGTTTTCTGGAAGTTTCCGAGCAGATAGTATGTGTTACCTAGGTTACCATAGGTTCGTCCCTGTGCTGCCCGATCCCCCAAGTCCTTCACAATGGACAGGTTGAATCTATACAATAAACAGAGACAAAAAAAAGTACATAAATAGGTAACACAATCACCAAAAGTAATTTATTCATAGACTGCGATTTACTCTCACTTAGTTATTTTTCAGCAGACTCCATCATAGAAAGTATTAAAAGGTAACAGACATTCACAAAAGTAATATTTATTCACCATTACAGCATAGGCGGACTCTATTTTAGAAACCCACTGATTAACTCACTCGTAATACTCTGTGGCTTTGATCAGCGCGAACTTGGCCTCCTCTGGGATTTCTCCTGGCTCCGCTCCAGTCCAGCAGATGCTCTTCCCCTTGGAGTAGTAAACGTTGCCGAAATTATACAGCGCTCGGGCCTGCCCAACCTACACACACACACACACACACACCACCAGCATTTCACAGACCAACACAACCAACGTTGTAAATACTTGTCCAGCACACAAACAGAAGGTCGGGTGTCAAACTATTCTAGACATCAGCACATAATTATTCATCAGTTATTCTAGCTCCCCAACTATTCAACAGTGGAAGAACAAACTCCCTGTTATGGCCACAACCAGTGGTCACCAGCCCTAGTCCTGGAAAGTCCTGGGTAATCAGGCTTTCGTTCCAGTCTAGCACTAAATCTCAGTTAAGCAAAGTCTTGATTGAACGTTTGAATAAGATATTAGTGTTGGGCTGGAACCAAGATTAGAACAGCATGTTGCTCTCTCTAGGACCATTACAATCCAATAATATGATTTACTTGTGTTGGATTCTACCTCGAAATATACTTATTCATGTTACCATACTATAACTTTTTGTAAGGAATGTATATGTTGGGGTCAATGGAGGGTGGATGAGAACTAGGTATATGGAAAGTTACTGAGTGAGGAAGGGGGAGTGCAGAAAGTTTACATTCTGTCAAAACATGGTATTGTTAAATCTCATAGCTCCTAAGGAGGGAGGCAAAGGGCAACAGTCTGGTTTCAGTCACTGATAATATAGGACAGCCGTGGATTAGGGAGGAGTGAGGAATTCGACCCGAGGTCAGGTCAGATGAAGTGACAACGAACAGTCCTGTTACACACATATACTTACATGCATAGGAAGGTTCTAGCAGGAGGCGGGGCCATGACTACACCAATGAGAGGAACCAATTAAGTTCCTGACTAGCAACAGAGATGTATTGGCTGTCTAGATGTGTAAGGAGTTGACTCCGCCTAGTAGGAGGGTTTAAATATATGTTCTTGTGTAAACATGTCTTTGTCTTAGCAGCTGTTTGACCCAGTGGGTGAATAAACTTGGTTTGAGCTTTTCCTAGTAATCCGTTTGAGTTTTTACTTTATTTGTTTAGAACCTAACACTTGTGATTAAATTATTATGTTTGAATGTCTCACCTTATCGTACATCCCTCTGGTAATGTCATAGTGTCTTTGGCAACAGACCACTGCTTCATCAAACCGTCCCAGAACCTTCAAGGTGTTTCCAAGGTTACCACTGGCTTTTGCTTCTCCAAGTTCATCCCCAATGGTTCTGGAGAGAAATCACATCCAAACACAGAATCTGAGAAATGTCAATGGTTTACAGTACCATGCCAGGCACTCTTGACCCAGAAAGGAGAAATTAGAATTTGTTCCACAAACCAGCGTTTGTCTCCCTACTCTAGTAAGGCTCCCATTTGAAGTGATAAATGTTTCATCCCCATGGGATACTGTGACCTGGGTGCTTTGCTTACTTTCTGACCAAACCAACAAACTGATCACTTGGTCACTTTGCCAGTCCCCCAGCTCTCATTTCTCCAGACCTTCACATTTCACATGGTCCCGTGTGGCTCAGTTGGTAGAGCATGGCGCTTGCAACGCCAGGGCAGTGAGATCGATTCCCACGGGGAACCAGTACGAAAATGTATGCACTCACTACTGTAAGTCACTCTGGATAAGCGCATCTGCTAAATGGCTTAAACGTAAATTTAAGAGTGCAACAAACCTCGCATTCGACCAGTTTTATAAGGGCAGCATAGTCTCATGTTAGTCTTATGAAATCTTCACTTGGCCAAAGGCAGTGTCTTAAGGCGGACCGTACGTTCCTAAGGTCATGGCGGTAGTGTGCGCCTGGTCAGAGAGGTCATGGCGGTAGCGTGCACCCGAGTAGCCTCTGCAGAGTCCCCAACAACTCCATCTTAACTCCCCCCCCACATTTACTGGATTGGTTGAGCAGTGCAAAACAGAACCTCCCAAGTAGTTTTTTCCTTCTCGTCAAGACCAGTATGTATGGTATCTAGTTTCATGTGTTTATTTCACGCCTGCTACATTAGGTTAGGTCAAAGTGAGGTTGTAGTGGTGTTGTGATGTCATGGCGGTGCTGTGTACCTGGTCAGTGTGAGGTCCTGCTAAGTGTGTGTACCTGGTGAGGGTGAGGTCATGGCAGTGGTATTCCAGAGCCTTGCTGTACTCCTGCAGGTGGAAGTAGGCGTTGCCCAGCTGGCTGTAGATGGCGCTGAGGATCTGGAGGTCCTCTGTGCCCACCTGGATGGCCGACTCGAAGGAGGAGACCCCGGCGCGGTAATCCTCCACCTTACACAGCCTCTCTCCCTCCAGGGCCAGCTCCAGACATGACATCTCCATCCTAGAAGGAGAAGAACACTTTATAGGCCAATTTCTGTGTGTGTGTGCGTACGCGTGTGATCAGACTGTCTAGGAACAGAAACTCATTTAGGAGGAAAGTTGAGGTATACTTTCGTTTGTTATGAATTTTAGGTTGTTCAGGTGTGGAAATTATGAATTCAAAGGATAAGGCAAACCACTTTTGTATTTTAAAAGGTTTAATAAAACAGAGGGAAGACAGAAAATGTATCCAACAGAGTCAGTCACATTCTCCCCTAAACTCTCATTATATGAACATCCTTATCCACTCATTCTCCAGGCCCAAACCATAACATAAGTCAAGCCTATAATCCATCTGGTTCAAAGTAGACCATATATTAGACATAGTATTATCTATTAAGACCACCATAGCTGATTTACAGCTAGTGACGCTTAACCTCAGGAGAATTACCCTACCTAAGCTGCTAAATTCTGCCTATAGGCACATGGAAATTAACCGTACCCAACACGTTTATGTACCTGGACATTTTGTGCGGCAGACAGGGTAAAACATCAACACTAGAACCGCATGGCCTTTCAGCATAGAAGTACCCACTAGAGAACGTTTCCGGGCGTCCCCTTTTGCACATGCATCAGATCCATATCAACCCGCAAAGTGCGCAAACATAAGCACCAACGCTTGATAAACAGTGCATAAACTATTGTAAAGGATGAATTTAATGAATAAATATTTGTGGAAATATACTAAAAACAATAGTTATTTGTTTAGATAGAGTCATGGATATATTTTGTATAATTCCACAAAGTCATAGAAAAAATGTAGGCCTATAGCCTATTTTTGTTTCCCCTTACAATAAAAACATTACAGTGTAATCCATTTGATCAACTTTATTTGTATATTTGATTAGTAATACACTTATAGTAATTAATAAAGTCCAGTTACAGCTTCTTTTGACAAATTAGAAACAAAAAAGATGATAATAATAATAGAGCATGGCGCTTGCAACGCCAGGGTTGTGGGTTCGATTCCCACGGGGGGCCAGTATGAAAAATAAATAAAAATAAAATGTATGCACTCACTAATTGTAAGTCGCTCTGGATAAGAGCGTCTGCTAAACGACTAAAATCTCAAATCATAACCATCCAGGTGCGCATGTGAAATTATTTAGTGTATTCCTAAACAAAAGCACCAGTGTATGAACAAATGTAAAGGATGAATTGCATAAAGAAATATTCTTGGAAATATATTCAAGGCAAAATATAAAAACAGTCATTTGTTGATTGTATCGGACACTGCATTGTGCCCTTACACCCCTGCCTTTACGACTGAATCAATCGCGTCTTCTCTTTATGCTTCGGGTCCACAGTCAGCACACAGCTTCGGGACTTTGTGTGAGCAAGCACCACAAACAAATCGGTTGCACTGCACACAGTTTTCATGGGCCTTGTTTCGTGTGCACATGCCGACTTGACATTGCGTCTTCTCCCCCCCCCCCCCCCACGAGTGGGAGCTGTGGTGCTTAGAGTAGAGAGAGAGCAGGACGCGCTGCTGCCTTGGCGGCCTACTCGGCGGTCATGAGGTTCTCGCAAAGCTCACATGCCACATCCATGACGAAATCTCTCCTGCTGACTGTCTTGTCAAGGCATTGCTTGTACAACACGTGCGCGTTGATAGCAGCCATGTCGAGCACGTTGTAGAACACCGCAACAGGTCGGGGCGAGTACCTCCTTTTACAGAGTACAGTCTTGCCATTTGGTCGAGCGCATCCACACCAACCTATTGCATAAAATAAAATAGAAAATGATAGAATGATATAGAATAATAATACTAATAGTAACAACAAATATTTTAATGTAAAAGGAGATAATACTTGGTGTTTAGAAGATGGAAAGGCTATCTGTATATGGCAGACATACAGTGCATTCGGAAAGTATTCAGACCCCTTGACTTTTTCCACATTTTGTTACGTTACAGCCTTATTCTAAAATTGATTAAATGTATTTTTCTCCTCATCAATATACACACAATACCCCATAATGACAAAGTGAAAACAGGTTTAGACATTTTTAAATTTAGTTTTAACCTTATTTACATAAGTATTCAGACCCTTTGCTATGAGACTCGAAATTGAGCTCAGGTGCATCCTGTATCCACTGATCATCCTTGAGATGTTTCTACAACTTGATTGGAGTCCATCTGTGGTAAATTCAATTGATTGGACATGATTTGGAAATGCACATACCTGTCTATATAAGGTCCCACAGTTGACAGTGCATGTCAGAGCAAAAACCAAGCCACAAGGTCGAAGGAATTGTCCGTAGAGCTCAAAGACAGGATTGTGTCGAGGCACCGATCTGGGGAAGGGTAGCAAAAAATTTCTGCAGCATTGAAGGTCCCAAAGAACACAGTGGCCTCCATCATTCTTAAATGTAAGAAGATTGGAACCGCCAAGACTCTTCCTAGAGCTGGCCACCCAGCCAAACTGAGCAATCGGGGGAGAAGGGCCTTGGTGAGGGAGGTGACCAAGAACCCGATGGTCACTCTGACAGAGTTCCAAAGTTCCTCTGTGGAGATGGGAGAACCTTCCAGGAGGACAAACATCTCTGCAGCACTCCACCAAATCAGGCCTTCATGGTAGAGTGGCCAGACGGAAGCCACACCTCAGTAAAAGACACATGACATCCCGCTTGGAGTTTGCCAAAAAGCACCTAAAGACTCTCAGAGCATGAGAAACAAGATTCTCTGGTTTAATGAAACTAAGACTGAACTCTTGGTCTGAATGCCAAGTGTCACGTATGGAGGAAACCTGGCACCATCCCTACGGTGAAGCATGGTGGTGACAGCATCATGCTGTGGGGATGTTTAGAATTTCAAAAGACGGAGGTTCATAAGGACACGGTCAAGCAGCAGACATTGGGGACAACAAAGCTACAGACGGCAGAGGGCGAAAACTACTCTCTACTGACCGGGATGACCGCCAACTCATTCGAATGTCACTCAACAACCGTAGGATGACATCAAATGACCTACAAAAAGAATGGAAACGGCAGCTGGGGTGAAGTGCACGGCGAGGACGGTTCGAAACAGGCTCCTAGGGGCAGGGCTGAAGTCGTGCAAAGCTAGAAAAAAGACCTTAATCAATGAGAAGCAAAGAAGAGCCAGGCTGAGGTTTGCAAAAGAACATAAGGATTGGACCGTAGAGGACTGGAGTAAGGTCATCTTCTCTGACGAGTCCAATTTTCAGCTTTGCCCAACACCTGGTCGTCTAATGGTTAGACGGAGACCTGGAGAGGCCTACAAGCCAGTGTCTCGCACCCACTGTGAAATTTGGTGGAGGATCGGTGATGATCTGGGGGTGCTCCAGCAAGGCTGGAATCAGGCAGATTTGTCTTTGTGAAGGATGCATGAATCAAGCCACGTACAAGGTTGTCCTGGAAGAAAACTTGCTTCCTTTTGCTCTGACATTGTTCCCCAACTCTGAGGATTGGCTTTTCCAGCAGGACAATGTGCCATGCCACACAGCCAGGTCAATCAAGGTGTGGATGGAGGACCACCAGATCAAGACCCTGTCATGGCCAGCCCAATCTCCAGACCTTAACCCCATTGAAAACTTCTGGAATGTGATCAAGAGGAAGATGGATGGTCACAAGCCATCAAAGAAAGCTGAGCTGCTTGAATCTTTGCGCCAGGAGTGGCATAAAGTCACCCAACGTCAATGTGAAAGACTGGTGGAGAGCATGCCAAGACGCATGAAAGCTGTGATTGAAAGATCAGGGTTATTCCACCAAATATTGATTTCTGAACTCTTCCTAAGTTAAAACATTAGTATTGTGTTGTTTAAAAATGAACATGAACTTATTTTCTTTGCATTATTCGAGGTCTGACAACACTGCATCTTTTTTGTTATTTTGACCAGTTGTCATTTTCTGCAAATAAATGCTCTAAATGACAATATTTTTATTTGGAATTTGGGAGAAATGTTGTCAGTAGTTTATAGAATAAAACAAAAGTGTTATTTTTACCCAAACACATACCTATAAATAGTAAAACCGGAGAAACTGATAATTTTGCAGTGGTCTCTTAATTTTTTCCGCAGCTGTATATTGAGATCATGTGACACTTAGATTGCACACAGGTGGACTTTATTTAACTAATTATGTGACTTCTGAAGGTAATTTGTTGCACCACATCTTATTTAGGGGCTTCATAGCAAAGGGGGTGAATACACCACTTTTCCGTTATTTATTTTTTAGCATTTTTTTTATACAAGTTTTTTTTTTTCATTTCACTTCACCAATTTGGACTTTTTGTGTATGTCCATAACATGAAATCCAAACAAAAATCCATTTAAAATTACAGATTGTAATGCAACAAAATAGGAAAAACGCCAACGGGGATGAATACTTTTGCAAGGCACTGTATGTTGTTTTGCAGGGGGGGCAGCTCCCGCCTTTGTTTGTTTATTGTTCCGAGCAGGTCTAGTCTTCTTTGCAATCAACTTGTCTGCCAGGGAAATTAATGTGAAGACGTTGTCCATGGTCACATTTCTGCCTTTGCCCATGTAAGGCTCCACGAGTCTCAAAACCAGTCTCAGACAGACGCTCACCTGCTGGCCTGGTTTCAGCTTTCCCCAGATATGGAAAGCCATTGAGCAAGGACTTGGTTTCGACATCGGCGGCTAACCAAAACTTAATTCCAAATTTGTCTGGTTTGTTGGCCATGTATTGGGTAAAACAGCACCAAGCTTTTGTTGGGAACAGTTGCTCATCAACAGTTATGTTTTCTCCTGGCTGGTAACAAGCGATGCAATTCACAAAACTTTTCCAGGTGTCGGAGACGGCGGCAAACTTGTCTTTCTGCACGCGTATCGGTCTTGTCTCCTTGTCATCAAAAGGCAGGTGTCAAATAATCTCTCTGAAGCGTTTGTGTGGCATGTGGTCTCTCGGAAAAAGTCCACCCCATACCAATCAGGCCAAAATGACTCCACATCCTTGCTCTTTCCGCCATATGCTCTGTGGACATACAAGAGTGCAATAAATGCTTTGAGTTCATCCATAGACATGTCCCACCTACTGTTTCCTTTTCTGTGCGCATGAGCGACAGTACAATCTCTGATGTGCTTCAACATCTGCATGTCACATAAACAAAGAAATCTCTTTAGTGCGCTGGCAATTTGTCTCTTTGCGTGAGGTGTAGGGCCTGCTCTCTCTGTGAGAATATTCTGGGAAGGCTGCCTTCCTGTTGAGCTCTCTACACACTTTTCTACCCAAACTGTGCCATCGTTCCCAGACTCCTGTCTCACCGTGGCAGTTGGGATCACTGTGACAGTTGGCTCTGTTCTGGTTTTTCTGCGGCGAAGCTCAGGCATCGGAGGCAGAGGCTTGAAGTCAACATCAGAATCAGATGAAGACTCCTCATCAACAACATCGATTTCAAGCTCAATATCCGATCCTCCATCTGACTACAACTCGTCTACATTAGGCAGCATTTGCAATGCTGTCAGTGCGTCCATTCGTTTGGTTCGACTTGCCATTGTGAACGTTGTACTCAGTGTCTGATTTGACTCTCTGAGGGGAGATTATATACCACTTTCACCCTCATCCTTCAAATCAATCAAATTAAATCACCCTCTTCATCATTTAGTTCATTGAAGTCAGATGCACCATTATCAATTTCTATCTGGTTTCTATCGCCCATTCATCCATTGACGACAGAATAGCATATTTTAAATTGTACGTTTATTATGTTACTAGTTTTTGCTTAGTAGGCAGAGCAATGCTGCCACGTGAGTGGTCATGTGCTGAATGTATGGACAGCACGGATATTCTTGGAAAAAGGGAAATTTGGAAATACCGAGCTGTACCTCTTGAATTATGAGAGTTACAGTGCATTCAGAAAGTATTCAGACCCCTCTACTTTTTCCACATTTTGTTACGTTACAGCCTTTATCTACAATGGATTCAATAATTGTTTCCCCCCTCATCAATCTACACATTATGCCCCATAACAACAAAGCAAAAACAGGTTTAGATTTTTTTGCAAATCAATATTTTTTTTAACTGAAATATCACATTTACATAAGTATTCAGACCCTTTACTCAGTACTTTGTTGAAGCAACGTTGGCAGTGATTACAGCCTTGAGTCTTCTTGCGTATGACACTACAAGCTTGGCACACCTGTATTTGGGGAGTTTCTCCCATTCTTCTCTGCAGACCCTCTCAAGCTTTGTCAGGTTGAATGGGGAGCGTCACTGCACAGCATTTTTCAGGTCTCTCCAGAGATGTTCGATCGGGTTCAAGTCCGGGCTCTGGTTTCATCAGACCAGAGAATCTTGTTTCTCATGGTCTGAGAGTCATTTAGGTGCCTTTTGGCAAACTCTAAGCGGGCTGTAATGTGCCTTTTACTGAGGAGTGGCATCCGTCTGGCCAGTCTACTATAAAAGGCCTGATTGGTGGAGTGCTGCAGAGATGGTTGTCCTTCTGGAAGGTTCTCCCATCTCCACAGAGGAACTCTGGAGCTCTGTCGGAGTGACCATTTGGTTCTTGGTCACCTCCCTGACCAAAGCCCTTCTCTGCTAATTGCTCAGTTTGGCTGGGTGGCCAGCTCTAGGAAGAGTCTAGGTGGTTCCAATCTTCTTCCATTTAAGAAAGATGGAGGCCACAGTGTTCTTGGGGACCTTCAACGCTGCAGAAATCGTTTGGTACCCTTCCCCAGATCTGTGACTCGACACAATCCTGTCTCGGAGCTCTACGGACAATTCCTTTGACCTCATGGCTTGGTTTTTGCTCTGACATGCACTTATATAGACAGGTGTGTGCCTTTCCAAATCATGTCCAATCAATTGAATTTACCACAGGTGGACTCCAATCAAGTTGTAGAAACATCAAGGATGATCAATGGAAACAGGATGCACCTGAGCTCAATTTCGAGTCTCACAGCAAAGGGTCTGAATACTTATTTAAATAAGTTATGTTCATTTTTTATAAATTTGCAAAAATCTAAAAACCTGTTTTAGCTTTGTCATTATGGGGTGTTGTGTGTAGATTGATGAGGGAAAAAAACAATAGAATCCATTTTAGAATAAGGCTGTAACAAAATGTGGACAAAGTCAAGGGGTCTGAATACTTTCTGAATGCACTGTATTTGACAAAGGTAAAATAGAAACTGCAGAATATGCTCATCAGATTGTCAATTTAATCTTGTTTATAGGCTAACTCTCATTATGTGCAAAATTAGTTTTGGTATAGTTTCGATGGGCCAGAGCTGTGCAGGCTGACTGGCATCATTTGTTATCTGCTCATCATGTTGGATAGAGGACATGTTTTGTATTATTCGAAAGGCCTACTGCAACACATAGCATGTTTTTGTTTCCCTTACAATACATTAGATTAGTAATATAGTTACAGTAAATAAAATAGTCCTGTAACAGCTTCTTTTTACAAAGTAAAAAATAAAAAGAGAATGGTATCAACCCTCAAGGCGTGCGGTCAAATTATTAACACGAGAACCAACGCTGATAAATACGCATAACAAACTCATCATTGCACTATCGCTGTTCTAAATTAAATCAACATCTTCACCCTCATCATTCAGTTAGGCCACATTTACATTTGATTGTTTAGCAACTTGCATAATTATCACCCATTCCATCCATTTGTCATTCATTCAGTTGGCTGGCATCAATTGCGTCACTGGACAGAGTCAAGGATATGTTTTGCATTATTCTAAAGGCCTACTGCAACATGTAGCATGTTTTCGTTTCCCTTACAATAAATGTGATTAGTAAGCGTGTTATAGTAAATAAAACAGTCCCATAACAGCTTATTTTTACAAAGTAAAACGTAAATGGCATATTATTATTATTATTAAAAGAGAATGGTATCAACCTGCAAGGCGCGCGCTCAAATTATTGGCTGCTGATAAATAGGCATTACAAACTCATGATTACACTATTATCTTTCTAAATGAAATCAGCCTCTTCACCCTCATTCAGTTAGGCCTAATTTATACTCAATTGTGAAGTAAGGTGCACAATTATCACTCATTCATCCATTTGTGATTCATTCAGTGAGGAGAGAGCGACGCATTAGCGCATGGCTGGGTACCAATTTGTAAGTCGCTCTGGATAAGAGCGTCTGCTAAATGACTTAAATGTAAATGTACCAACGTCATACAGCACATTGTCTTTGCAGATTAAAAGGCTCTAAATACTTTTCTGTTTGTGATTTTAAAATTCTGACAAGTGAGCAGTGTAAAATACAAAACATTTAGGAAAAGTCAGGGAAGGAGCAGGACATAGCTTTTGGGGGGGGGAGGGGGGAGCATTGGCTTATGGCGGTTCTAGTGTTAAAATCCAACAACAACAACCACCACCACCACCAGAACAAATATACACATAAGATAGCAAACAGCAAACATAGCAGTTACGGTCAGAGTGCTGTCCCAGTCAGAGTATATCAAACCTAGCCTGGTCCCAGATCTGTTTGTGCTCATGACAATTGCTGTCATTGTCAAGCCAAACATGGCAAGAGTTTGCATGATAGCACAACTGGTACTCAGGGCACACCAGACCAATGACATGGACTGCAGAAATACCTTTGTCATGTTGGTATACAGCTCTCCACGAAGACAGTTCGGCTCTACAGCACACCCATCTGTGTACGTGGTTCGGATCTGCATCTATACTGTAGAACTTCATAGTCCACACCCAGACACCATCGGCTTAAAAACAGCTGTGGTTGGTTACTCCTCTAGGAAGTTATGCTGCTTCCTTAAAAGGTACGGCTTCAGGCTTCCTCTCATGCCACCATAGACAGAGGCAGCAAAACAACAGGCATTTCTATATGGTCTCTCCAGAAGAGTACTGTCATTCACCAGACTTTTCCTGGGTTAGCCTGGGGATGAGGTTACAGTTCCTACCAGGAGAGTATACTGCTGAGGGGGTGGAAACTATAGGATTATTATTACATCACAATTAACCTACATCATGGCTTTGTCCAAGCATGACTCCCCACCTCCATTTGGCACAGCATATAACGCATGCTGTATGCACATGGCCTGAAGTGGCAAAAACATTGTCAACTCAATCCAACACCTGGAATACAGTCAACTCCTGCTCACCTCACTACCAATCAAGCATTTTCCAGCATCCGATTCAAACTTCAATGAACATTAGCGGACTGAAAAATAGTACATTGATGAACAACCACAACCAATGTCCATTTCAAGACAAAATCATTACTGTGATTAAAGTTAGATTAGAATAGAATGTCCGACACCCACGGAAAACGAATGAATCTGTCTTTGGGCCTGACATATGGGCCAGTCAAGAGCAGTCATCAAGAGACTTCAGACGCCAACATACAGTACTGTACCTGCTGCATCTCTTCATCCTAACCCACTCCCGGACCCTTGAGAGGACAGACATCTCAAGCTTCTTGATCACTCTGTCACTGGCTATGATCGAGACCGGCTCCTTCAGGGAGAGACAACTCAGTTGCTGTCCTTTGGCGTGCATACACATACCAACGACGGTGACCCGTTAGCGAGCCCAGACACAGCAAAAAATATATATTCTCCCCAGGAAGATTCGCCAATGCCGACACAGTCTCTAAAACCGTCTCTCTGACCTGTCGTAACAGCACAACTTTGGGCTATAACTGCCTTCTGTCCAGAGACTCCTGACTCCTCCCAGTTGGACGTCCAGAGTGTCAAATATTTTGTTGACAGTCTAATCAGGGCTGCAGTCTCAAGGTAAAAGTAGGTTTCCCATACAGGAATGGGTTCAGGGGTTGTGGTGGTGACTACAGTAAGCAGGGCTTAGCCGACGGCAGCATTTAGTCTCCCTCCGCCTCCTCTTGGCCACCTGCTGGTGTGTGTCACATCTCATTAGTCAGCATGTTCAGAGGTAATTACAGGGATAATGCCCTTTGTCACAAAAGACCTGTGAACTCATTACAGACTGGGGCAAACTCACTCCTTAAGGCTTGCACACATTGAAACGAATGTGGATCTAGTGTTCATCTGCCGATCCTTCAGCGCGCTGTTTTAGGCTGTGGTCCCTAAAACAGATACGATTAGCATTCCACCAAAATTATTTTGTTGAAATATAATTTGATCTCTGAGAAATTAAGCTAATTGATTACACCCATGGTCATGGGTTCTGTTCCAAGTGCATCTGCCCACCTGGCAGTTTCTTCTCACCGGGAGCAGTGCGCAATTTGGCTCTCGCATGGAATCTTTGCTGCTGCCTTGGCCCTCATATGTCTCACGTTGCCCGTGTGCCAGACTTATGAACAACTGGAACAACACGTGTGCGTTGATAGCAGCCAAGTATGTTATAGAACAGAGCAACAGGCCAGCAGCGAGTTCCTCCTTTCACAAAGTACAGCCATGCCATCTGATCCGAAACTCACTCACCTGCTGCCCGATATGGATCCTTTCCCAGATATGGAAAGCCGTTCAAGCATGAATCAGAAATGTTATGATCCATTTCTTCCCCGCCATCTGAGTCATTTTCATTTAGATCTTGCAGCAACGCTAAAGCAACATGTGCATCCATTTGTCTTGGTCTTGCCATTGTAGATTGCGCACGCTCTCACTGTGTAGCCAACCCCATTTAGGTCTAGAGTAGACAAAGGAAAATTCCACCCAAAAACTATCTTTTGGTATTTGTTTCATTACTCCATTGTTGACATAATCCCCAAATGTGTTGCTTGTCAGCACTCACATTTTCAAGATATTTAACTTCCAAAATAAGGAAATCATCCCCGTATAATGCATTTTGTATCATATGATACAAAACGCAGCATCATATGATGCAAAATATTTTTCAATGAGAAATACTGCACCAAACATCTTAGATGTAAAATTGCGCGACTAAGATCTCCGCGGGGAAAAAAACGTCAAAATGAATGACAGATTGTGTGAGTTATCTTAATTCTGACTATTTTGAAGGAGTGACTGGCTACGGCATCTCAAAATCGACGAACTGTACTACTACCGCTTTTTTCTCATTTTTCAAGCGAAGGTCTTTTAAGGGAGTATGCAAGCACAATCGTTCAGGTCACCTAAGATCGTCTAGGCGCAGCCGAACTGAAGCATGCTGACGCCTTAATAAAACTGCTTGTATTCGGTGGACTGATATAGGTTACACCATTTTGAGATAATAATTAGAATAGATGAATGCAACAGAATGGCCAGCCCTGTTCTTCATTCACAATTGGTGATTACATAATTTAAAAAAGACAAATGCTGTTGCTCGTAGGGAGCATTTCAAGACGAGAGACAGATGAGCTGGGGGACTTGTTGACCGTGATCATTGATAGCCAGCAACCCCTGGAAGGTATCCCTGATGAGGACCATTTGGGCAGTTCAGTTGGGGGACCGTTCTGTTCCAATCCTCATTTGGTAGTACACATTCATTCAACATGTGCTATCCCCGGACTGCAGGGAATATGTCATGTTGTCAGTCATCAAAAATTATGTAATGAACTCAACTCTTGAATAAATTATGTTCTCTAATGCAGCAATCATTTTCAAGAGGCAGATGATCACCATAGCTTGGAGGGGACTTGTCTTAACAGGATGAAGGTCAGCCCGCTACATCTGCAGCAGCCAGGAGGGAAGATTGTCCTCTGGCCTAAGTTAGTGAAACAAAGAAAAAGAGGCTGAGCATGCATGAGGAACTGGCCATGGAATTTCATGAGCACAAACTAATGTATTTAAAAGAAGAGCATGATATGAAGATGCGAATCATTTGATGTTGAGTTGGCTATGGAGGAGGAGGAGAGAAACATGAAGCAGCAGCAGTACCAATGTTCTTCTCGAACCAGCACCAGTTCGGGGTCCCGATATTTCCATTTGTGAATCCATGGCTATTGTTTGCGATTATCACTTGAGCTACACTACATGAAAAGTATGTGGACACCTGCTCGTCAAACATCTCATTCCAAAATCCTGAGCATTAATATGGAGTTGGTCCGCCATTTGCTCCCTGCTTTGTCCCCCGTTCTGGGAAGGCTTTCCACTAGATGTTGGAATATTGCTGCGGGGACTTACTTCCATTAAACCACAAGAGCATTATTGAGGTCGGGGACTGATGTTGGGCGATTAGGCCTGGCTCGCAGTCGGCATTCCAATTCATCCCAAAAGGTGTTTGATGGGGTGGAGGGCAGGGCTCTGTGCAGGCCAGTCAAGTTCTTTCACACCGATCTCGACAAACCATTTCTGTATAGACCTTGCTTTGCGCACGTGGGCAATGTCATGCTGAAACAGGAAAGGGTCTTCCCCAAACTGTTGCCAAAGTTGGAAGCACAGAATGCTGTAGCGTTAAGATTTCCCTTTGCTGGAACTAAATGGCCTAGCCCGAACCATGAAAAACAGCCCCAGACCATTATTCCTCCTCCATCAAACTTTACAGTTGGCACTATGCATTCGGGCAGGTAGCATTCTCCTGGTATCCACCAAACCCAGATTTGTCCGTTGGACTGCCAGATGGTGAAGCGTGATTCATCACTCCAGAGAACGCATTTCCACTGTGAAGCACTGCCATTGCAATTATGACAATGCAGCATCTTTTTGGTTGAAAGCGCAATGTGTTTCTGAGACACTGGAAACGCCTCTTTCATAGACCAAACATGAACTCCACTACACCTCTGGTGTGGATATGAGCTTGGTTGTACCGTTGTTGCTCAGGTCCTATTGCCTGAAGATAGGGGTCTGTGCATACCCACTGTCACCAAATATGATTCCACTATGTTGTCCACCTTCAAGCTGAGCATACCAAGAGGAGTTTGGGAAAATCCTTGAGACATGACTTTCACCTTTCCAACGTGCAACAATGTTGGAGAACTGCAAAATTGGGAATGCACACTTTGTACATTTATTGAGAACCAGTTTAAGATTCCTGTACTCCTCAGCATCTGCTATAGAGGGACACTTTATTGTGAATATGATGCCAAAAACCTCAAGGTGATCAGTACTTGTAACGAAGTTGGGACGGGCCTTCCCCGAAGAGAGTCAGATGAAAGCCTTGGCTCAAGCAAACAAATATCAGCTGCATTTTCTTTGTACATACGGAAACGGAAATTGATTTAATCAAAATCATTCAGCCCCTACCCAGATGGTAATGCGCCGCCGTAATCTTTGCTCTCTCTCTTCTACTACGCTCTCCTCTTCTATCCTATCATCTCTCCCTTCTGCTAAATCCTTCTCCCGTCGGTTTCCTGATTCTGCCTCTTCGACCCTACTCTCCTCCCTTTCGCATCCTATGACTCGCACTGTCCCTATTCCTCCCGGCACGCTCAGCCCTCCCCTCCTGCTCCGTGGCTCATTGTGAGCTTACAGAACCTCCCTCCTTAATCCTCCACCTCCCTCTCTGCAGACGACTTTGTCAACCACTTTGAAAAGAAGGTTGACGACATCCGCTCCTCATTCACTCAGCCTATTGAGTCCACTGGTCCCACCCACACAGAACTACTCTAAGGCATTGACCTCTTTCTCTCCTCTCTCCAGATGAAATCCTGAGGTCTGGCCGCCCGACAACCTGCCCGCTCGACCCCATCCCCTCCTCCAGACCTTCTCCCATTCCTCACTTCCCTCATTAAAATGGCTACGTCCCGTCTGACTTCAAAATGGCCCGAGTCGCTCTCCTCCTCACAAAACCAACACTCGATGTCAAATCGGACGTCAAAAACTATAGACCTGTATCCCTTCTTTCTTTACAAAACACATGAGCGTGCCGTCTCTGATGAACTCTCTCATTATCTCTTTCAGAATGATCTCCTTGACCCTAACCAGTCAGGCTTCAAGATGGGTCACTCAACCGAGACTGCTCTTCTCTGTGTCACGGAGGCTCAAATCACTGCCAAAGCTGACTCTCTCGCTCTCCTCTGTTCTCATCCTCCTAGATCTAGATCCAGGTGGCGACACGCATCTCTGTGTGCCTGGCAGATCTCAGCATGGATGTCAGCCCATCACCTCAAGCTCAACCTCGACAAGACGGAGGTGCTCTTCCTCCCGGGGAAGGCCTGCCCGCTCAAAGACCTCTCCATCACAGTTGACAACTCCAGTGTTGCCCTCCCAGAGTGCAAAGAACCTTCGCATGACCCTGGACAACACCCTGTCGTTCTCTGCAGACATCAAAGCAGGTTCATGCCCTATAACATCCGTAGAGTACGACCCTACCTTACACAGGAACCGGCGCAGGTCCTAATCCAGGCACTTGTCAACTCCCGTCTTCCCTACTGCAACTCGCTGTTGTCTGGGCTCCCCGCTTGTGCCATCAAACCCCTGCAACTTTTCCAGAATGCTGCAGGGCGCCTGGTTTTCAACCTTCCCAAGTTCTCAAATGTCTCCCTGCTCCTCCGCACACTCAAGAAAAAGCTTCAAACTGTAACTAGTGCCAGCAACTGGTTAAGGTTATCAACCAACCTACCAGGGTAGTTACAAACAGTACAGGAATGAAATCATCAACATGTATTGATCATATCTTTACTAATGCTGCAGAAATTTGTTTGAAAG